AGAAAAAAAATATTAAGTAAGTTATTGTTTGTTTTAGGTTTTAATTTTATTAATTATAACAATTTTAATAATAAAAGCCTTTTGAAAAAGTTCCTGATCAGGAACGAAACGTCAAGAAAGAAATCGCTGCTGTTTTTTTATCCTTTTTTTAACCGACTATCACACCAGAACCCAATTCCTAAGAAAATAAATATATTTTAATATTAAACAAAAGGTTCAAAAAGATTTCGATGTTATATATATATAATATATTTATATATTTTTATTTCTTTATATAATATTTTAGGAACTATGTTCAAACTTTTATCATATGTAGAATTACATCTTCAAGCATGTGAATGGAATTCCAGAACACCCTGAATATTACATTAAGGAAATTATTTTTAAATTTACTTTCATCTATGTGAAAACTGAATATCTGCAATTCCACAAAAAATAGAATAACATTTTCTGCTTTATAATATACTAGATTATTACGTAGATAATTTAATATACCTTTTTTGACATACTGAGCATTCGATAGGTTTTCCAGTTCCATGAAGCCTTTTATGACTAGTTAAATCACCAGATTGTCTAAAAGCTTTTCCACAAAAGTCACATACAAATGGTCTCTCATTAGTATGGATTCGCATATGAATTTTCAAACTAGCTTTCGATACATAACCATTTTTACACACCTCACACTGAAAAGGTCTTCCACCTGAAATATAAAATGAAATTAATATTTTCTATCCACTCGTATCTCTCTTTCTTATCTCAGTGAAACTAATAGCAAATTGATATAAAATATTATTTTACTGCTTTACTGTTTTTTATTAATGACAAAAGCAGTAAAATGCAAATTAACCCGGTAAGTAGAAAAGAATCCAGCCATAAATCTTAGTGCATTTCTTTGCAGCTAATACTTAAAAAATGTACGGCAGTTATATTTATTGCATTCAGTATTAATCTACTAAATAAAAAAATACTTTTATGAACTTCGTTTTCTTTATCTCTAAAGGTTATTTAAAATATGTACCACCAATGGAAAAAGTTTTTCAGATAGGCTGCCATAAATTCTAAGTATAACAGAATATTAAAAAAATAAGATTTTTCCACTGAACTATTTTATTAATAGCAAAAGCAGTAAAATACAAATTAAACTAGAGGGTAGAAAAGTATTTAGCCATAAATCTTAGTGAATGAATTCTAATCCTAGTAATTATGAAGGTTTGAAACACTGCACACCTATAACTTAAAAAATACTTTATTAATATCTAACACAAATATCAACTTTAGATATTGTATCATATTAGATTTATTAAAAGTAAACTAAATTTCTCGGGAATTAAGAATGAATCAGAAATTCAAAATTAGAATTTAATAAAGCAGCATTTTTAATCCACAAATTGATAGTAATGTTCCATTTCTAAAAAACTGACGAGTGAATCGGCAATAACAGATAGACTGATAGACTACAAGCCCATCGGAAATTTTCAAGGGGTCATTTGACCCAGCAGGAATTACTTATAAATTAAGGGGAGGTGGTTTTCGGCAAAACATTTTTGTACGACATTTCTAAAGTATATAGGTTATAAAAAAAAAATGAACCTCGACATAATGCCGTACAAAAATAGCAATACCGGAATCCAGGAAAATGTTTGATGTTCTGAAAATTTTGGCCCGGTTTTAGGTGATTTACTACAGTACGGCATTTATACTGCAAGTTTCGGATTGATACATAGATAACGCTTTCAGTGACGCCGTACGTATCTGCATCAGCAGATCACCAAAACCCGGGCCAAAATTTTCGGAAAATCAAAAATTTTCCTGGCTTCCGGTATTGCTATTTTTGTACGGCATTAGGTCGAGGTTCATTTTTTTTCTGTAACACATATACTTTAGAAATGCCATACAAAAATGTTTTGCCGAAAACCACCCCTCCTTGGTGGACAGGTTTAGCTTACCAGTGTACTCACCCGTACCAAAATAGTGGTTGCCGTACAGGAATTAATGATTGTATCGAAAAAAATAAAACTCAATTCCAAAATACAAGTAATTGTTTATAAACTTTTGCATTAACCATAATTTTCAGATGGCATAGTTGCTAGGAATTATTTGGAGAGTTAAATAATCATGTGGAATCGATGCTGTACATTTTTCAATGACTTGAAACAATGGGGGCTAAAATAGAGGGTTGCACCCTGCATTTCTAGCCCCTGTATCAGCAGATACGTACGGCTTCACTAAAAAAACCAAACTAAAAACCGGGCCAAAATTTTCAGAACATCAAAAATTTTCCTGGCTTCAGGTATTGCTATTTTTGTACGGCATTAGGTCGAGGTTCATTTTTTTTATAACCTATATACTTTTGAAATGTCGTATAAAAATGTTTTGCCAAAAACCACCCCCCCTTGGTGGATAGGTTTAGCTTACCTGTGTACTCACCTGTATCAACAAAAATTAACGGCATAGTTTCTAAAGTTATTGTTACATGTGGTAGTATTAATTTATAAGTAATTCCTGCTGGGTCAAATGACTGTTTTAAACCAGATTATGTGTTTGATGTTGTATATCGAATGTGCAGAATGCTGAAAATATGCACGTGTCGCATTTTGAAGGCGCAACGACGATATTCATCTATTGAAAATGATCTGAGACAATTACTAATGCAGGGAGTATGTGGTAACAGTTTAGTTATTAGGGTAGATTTCTATCTGATAATAACTATTTTTTGGCACCAATTACACAAAAGCAGGAGTGACCTATTTGCGCAACAAGCTTCATCTGATTTACTACATCTTAATTGACAGATTTTTATTTTGTAAGATGTAAAATTAAATTTTATTCATATTTCGATTATTTGGGCAGCTGTGTACAGTGTACATCAAGTCGGTAAAGTCCAGCAATTGGTATATAACTTGTCATAAAGATTGTATAATAAAATTGTGTGTTTAAAAATTTCGTGGATCATAATTTAGTTGTTGTAAATGAGGATGAAATTCAAACATTTTCTTCTGATGAATTGTTATTACCCAAAGATTTAGGTGCTTCTGAAAATGTAGCGCCGTTAGCATGTTTCGCCAGGTGATGCTTAAAAGACTCGTTATATTTGGACTCAAAATGACACAAATCCCACTTGTACAAATGCAAGGCGGAGGGATCCTTGTGTACTATTTGGTGACCTATGAAACTCTTCTTGTGTTTGCTTTGAAAATTACATTTATCACAAATGTATATCGTGGGTATCTGATCAGGTTCAAATTGGTTTATACTCTTGTCTACTTCGGAAATCTCCACTGTCTCTTCTAGTTCATGGGGTGAAATATCCGGAAATATGTAACTGAAAAATGTTTATTTTTTAGTAAATACTCCTTTGATTTTCCTCATACGAAAAGATTTTTTTAATCGATTTTTGAAGTTTAGTTTTGTCTACTGTTTTTGCTTAAAAAATTATGAAAACTTAAAGAAAATCAGAAAGAATTTTTTTTCATTTCCTATACATTTTTTAAATTAGCGTTTTTCGATGAAATGTGGACCGTAACACTACAACATATAAGATATAAAATGTTTTCTCCAAATTTAAGAATGTCTTTTTATACAAACATCTGCTTTTGAAGCTCTTATTTTTGATATACACGATGTTAAAGTTAAATCTCTTATTTGAGGGTTTGAGAAATTTTCTCCTCACAATGTATACTCTGGGGTTTTTGGGTAGCTGATTACAAATCCTAGGTCAAAAATACAAATTGACAATCAACAACTGCTAAAATAATTTATTTGTTATCATTTTGCTCAGTAGGTCCTGCTATGAGTTGCCTTGTCTGCTCTGCACAAAGTAGAAATTTGCAAAAACGAATTTGAAAAAGAACTTCATCCAAACATGGAAATAGATGCATTATAGTCTCTGAGGAGGCTATTGCCCCGAAAATAATATCGTTCTTTCAAAAGTGGAGAAAAAAACATATTTTCTAAAAGTTTACGCCAATTATGTGATAAGGGATACTACTTTTACTACATACCGCACTGAAAAGGTTAAGTGCGATGTAAATTTTATCTCATTTTAACAATTTATTTAAAATTGATTTACATTATTTTGAAATATGCTGAGCGTGCTGCAGTCTTTCGTATCACTATCAGAACAATTTTGAGTTACATACCTCTCTTTATCATTTTCTTCTGCTTTTATATCCAGAGGCTCAGATTTAATCAACATCTCTTCATCTTCAAATTTCAGTGGAGTAGATCCTATTTCCATAAACTCATCTTCCTGTTCATTTAATTCGGATTTTATTTTGATCTCAACTTTAACGGGAGAAACTAAGGATGGAGTCCAGCCCAAACTGGCAGTGACTTTTGTACCATGAACACTCTTAACGTTTTCCTTTATTTTTAAGCATTTCTGTATGAAACCACTGTGGGTACTGAAGGAAACAAAGCACCGTTTGCAAATAATGGGATCTTTGACGACACTGAAATTCTACAAAGTACATTTTAAGATTGGACAACCTTAATTTTTTTTATATAGTTATTGAAATGCTAAAAAATGCAACATGCTTTTGTATATTGCTGTATGTCGCTATATACTTACTATTTCTGGAATATATTTCTCCATCATATCAACCTCTAATTTATGTATCGACATAAATTCACTATTTGTTAACTGCATACATAACCGACAAACTTTATGATCAACATTTAATTTATTCATGAGTTGCTTGTCTTCTGTTTCCTTTATGTAAATCTCTCTTAAGTCAACAGAACATTCTGTTTCATAATCGACATGAGGAATTATGGTGTTGTCAGTATAGAGGCACATCGACTTAAATTCGTATGCTTCTCTTACCTGTAGTGAACAATCGTTACATATTATGTGTTTATTCGAGTTGTCAAAATCCTGAAAATTGGATTAATATTATCATTAACGTCATTGTTATAATCATTAACGGGTTTAGCCAATAAGTGTTACTGATTAGTAACACTTATTGGCTAAACTCATTAATGAACGTACCAGATTTAATAATAGAAAGCCAAACATATTTCTGGTAGCTTCTTCTATTTCTTCAAATTGATCATCGCTTATGACTTTGAGGCATAGCCTACAATGTGGTTCCTCAAAATTCTCCATTTAAACAATTTATCTTGATAATATATGGCAATAAAAGGATTTTCCAATATCTTCCTCTTCACTAGGAAATACAGAATTCTCTCATTTATATTTTCAAATTAATAAACTCCTATTTAAACTTTCCTTCATAAGTAAATAACCATAACCATAGATAATGATCATAACCTTACAATCCTTATAGAACCATTTGCGTTCTTCTTCTTCTTCTTTTTTTTGGCCTTCACCCAGAGGGTATTTAGCCAGCTTCTTATGTAATTGTTTTTTATTATTCAAGGGAATGCACCGTAAAGTGCATCTGAGATTGGTTACTCATATTCCCTCGATTGATTCCTATATCTCGAGCGGGAGTGCAAATGGGATTAGTAAACAACACAACACAGGATAGACTTTTCACGCTCGGGGGCAACAGCCGAGCCTTAACACACACCGAAACGTTGCCTCAGATTAGAGAGAAGCACCCAGGTTAAAAAAGATGGGGACATAGGTTTTTCTGAAAAAAAAAATACAAATGGATTACAATTTGACACAGCAAAGATTTAAGACCTTCAACAGTATGGAGATCGTGTGATAATTGAGTTTTTCTATCAAAGTGGTAATCGAAAAGGGGGTTTGCATGCCTGCTTTGGATAATTCCTGATATAAGTCAAAGTTAGGAATCTTATTTAGTGGACATTCCAATATGATGTGATTTAAGTCACCTGTCCACATTCACAATACGGGTGAGTCAGAATTCCTATTCTGTGCAGATGCTTGTTGGTTAAACAGTGACCTGTTCTCATTCTAATTATCGTTGTTAGATGCCTTCTGTCCTTATATGGAAACAAGGTGAACCATGGGGAACTTGGGAACTCCTTTATTATCTGTGCATAGCTGAAACCTCGTGAATTTGTACTCAATTTCCATTCTTGTTTCCATTTAGCCTGTATTTGCTGCTTAATTGTTGGTAGGACATCATTTTTGTCTAGTTCTACTTCTACTTGATTTTCAGAATTTCTTCCAATGTTTGCCAGTGTGTCTGCCACTAGGTTCCCATGGATGTTGGAGTGACCCGGAATCCATGCCAATTTGATTTCGCAGCCGTTTGCCTCTGCTTCTAACAACATTCTTTTTGTTTTCAGAGAAATGTGGTCCCTATCTTTGTTGATTTCCGTGCTCGAGATTTTTTGTAGAGCTGACTTTGAGTCCGAGAATATTACTGACTTGTCCAGGTTCCTCTCTAGGCATATGGTAATGGCTTTGTTTATCGCTATAACTTCTGCAGTGCATATTTGTGTGAGTTGAGGAAGTCTTGCTGAAAATTTGTGGTTGATGCTTGGGATGAACACTCCTAGTCCCACGTTTCCTTGATTTTTGTCGAGAGAACCATCGGTGAAGATCCAGGTATGCTGTTCAAACTTTGGTCCAAATATACTTAGAAATTCTTTGTTGCTGTTTATTTGCGCTCTGTCGTTGTTAATGTTAGCAACTTCAATTGGAGTTATCTGATGTACGTGTTCTATTTCGAAACATGGTAGGATTTTTTCCGCATGTATGTTGTTCGCATGTTGATCTACTTCTTCTAGCGCTTCAATAATGTATGGCACCTCCCTCCTTGTCCAGTAACCTCGTTTGGATTGACAGTAGCTGTCCAGTTCTAGTAATAGTTCTGAGATTGGGTGTTCTTGTTCTGCAATTATTTTTAGTACAAATTTACTTGCTAGCCACTTCCTCCTGTACTCCAGTGCCATTTCAGCGCACTCTGCTAATAGTACGTTAGTTGGGGTGGACCTCATGCATCCTGTCACGATTCTTAGTGCTTGGTATTGCATTTTGTCCAATTTGGCAAGGACTTGTTTCGGGCAGGGTTTCATCAGCTGTGAACCATAATCGAGATGTGAACGTACAATTCCTTTATACATGAGTAGCAATGTCGATGGATCTGCTCCCCACCATGCACCACAAAGTGAATTCATTATGTTGATTCCTTTTAGGGCTTTTGTTTTGACATGTTCTACTTGCTCGTTCCAATTTAGGGACTGTGTTATTTTGATTCCTAGATATTTTACCGAGTTCTTCCAGGGGATCAGATGGTTGTTGATGGATATTGATGGGTAAAGGTGCCTGGATTTTTTTTCCTGAACATGATTGCCGAAGATTTGGTGGTGGACAACGTCAAGTCGTGTCTCCCTAACCATTCGTTTACATTCTCTAAAACTAGATTCATTTCCTTTGTTAGAATTGTCTCGGAGGTACCTTTAGACATTATTACTATATCGTCGGCATACTGCACCAGTCAAAACTGTTCCGGGATGAGATTTGCCAAATCAGACGTGTATATGTTAAAGAGTATTGGGCTTAGCGGGGATCCTTGGCATAACCCTCTATTGTTTAATCTCGGACCGAGTATCTGCCCTTCATTGTCTTTAAGATGTATTTGTTTGTTATGCAGAAACTGAAATATCAAGTTTGTAAGTTGATGAGAAACGCCCAAGTCTAGGAGTCTCTCATACAATTTATTTATGTTTACATTATCGTAGGCAGCGTGGATAGTGTAACCTCGTCTCTGCTAAAGCCTATTTGTGCATACGAAGTTAAATATGCAACACACTCTGAACCCGAACTGCGATGGTGGGAGTAATGCTTTGTTTTCAATGTACCATTCAAGCCTGTTCTTGATCATGTTCTCTAAAATCTTGCCTATGCAAGAGCTCAAAATTATGGGACGATAGTTTTCTGGCTGATTCGAGTCTTTCCCGACCTTTAGCAGGGGGTTTACTAAGATACATTTCCATTGCACGGGTTGGTTTGTCCCGAACAAAACCTCATTTTACAGATTTAATAGGAATCTATTTGCTGCAATTGGTAAATTGTTTATCATCGTGTTATGTTATTTGATCGATGCCTGGAGCTGAACTTTTTTTTCTTCTCATGGCTACCATTAGTTCTACATATAGAAACGGAGGTTCGTTGGTTCCTTGTCTGAATCTAAAGTCAGGAATTATATGGACTGCACTCATTGATTCTAGTATTTGAATGGCTGTTTCGTTCTGGTAGCTTGTTTTGAATTTGTGGGGATTGTATTTTGGAAAATTTCCTTACTGTTTGCCAAATTTTTTTCAATGGCGTGTTCCTATTTAGTTCAGAGCAGAACTTCCTGAAACTATTTCTTTTTTTTCCTTTGAATGTTCTTCTGGAGAGCGCGATAGATTTTTTTACCAGTAGGTAGTTTTCTAGACTTGGGTCCATTCGATAAATGGAAAGGCTTCTTTTCCTGTCTTCCAGGGCCCGCGCACATTCGTCATCCCACCATGGAGCTGGCGGGCGATTTGACTTTTGATTGTCCTTTGACCTTGGGATACTGATTTCTGCTGCATCATTGATGATTTCTATTTCTATCGGGAAAAAGAGAGGAGATATAACACAGGAAATGTTAGTATTAGAGAGATTGCACCCCCTTTCCCACTTTTGTTGATGATGACCGATAACTTTTATCCTCTCAGCCCACGCACCTAACCTCAAAAAAAAAAAGAACAAAAAAAAAACAAACCATTTGCGTTAGAAGTGTTAGAACGTACAAGCCTTCTTCTTCTTCTTCTTCTTTATAACTTGATGCTTGCTCTTATCTAGGCTTAATTCAGAGGCGCGCCATTATTCCATGGCTAGAAATTGGCCTCAATGATTTGGGATCGAGGGGGATTATCCCTCTTTATCCTGCCTCATCTCGTGTAGGCCTGGACAGCCTTCGTAGGTGGGCCCCATCCGTCGTCTACCCCGACCGCANGGGGCCCACCTACGAAGGCTGTCCAGGCCTACACGAGATGAGGCAGGATAAAGAGGGATAATCCCCCTCGATCCCAAATCATTGAGGCCAATTTCTAGCCATAGAATAATGGCGCGGTTAGAGTGTCGCTTGAGCGTCGTTTCAGTGAACTAGCGGTTTAGGTTCAGTTTGAGGGTCAACTGTCAGCTGAGTTGAAGTTATAGAATAGTGGCCTATTGAATAGAAGTACAAAACCGTTTTATTTTATTTTACATTTGTGTGTTTATTAAAATGTCATCTTCATCTGAAAATGATCGATTTCATAAAAGTAATAAACTTTGGAAAGATAGTAATGACAGTGATTCTTCTGATAGTTCTGATAATGAATATGGAAGAGGACATAGAGCTCCTAGAAATTTTAGAATTCGTCTAAATCATTTTCAAGTGGAATGATGAAGAATTTAGAATGAGATTTCGCCTAAGTAAGGACACTGTTGCGATGTTAGAACAATTGGAAATGATTCAAATATTTAAAAATCCCGCGCGATTTACTTAGTCGAATAAGAAGAAGAAGAGGAGATCTGAAGTATAAAGTGTTCAGTGTTCTTACTTCTTATCTTCTTCTTCTTTTTTGGCCTTCACCCAGAGGGTATTTAGCCAGCTTCTTATGTACTTATTTTTTATTCAAGGGAATGCACCCTGAAGTGCATCTGAGATTGGTTACTCATATTCCCTCGATTGATTCATATATCTTGAGCGGGAGTGCAAATGGGGTTAGTAAACAACACAACACAGGATAGACTTTTTTCGCTCGGGGGCAACAGCCGAGCCTTACACACACCGAAACCTCAGATTGGAGAGAAGCACTCAGGTTAAAAAAGATGGGATCATAGGTTTTTCTGAAATAAATTACAAATGGTTTACAATTTGACAGAGCAAAGATTTAAGAACTTTAACAGTATAGAAATCGTTTGATAATTGAGTTTTTCTATCAAAGTGGTAATCGAAAGGGGGTTTTGCATGCCTGCTTTGGATAGTTCCTGATATAAGTCGAAGTTAGTATTCTTATTTAGTGGACATTCCAGTACGATGTGATTTAAGTCACCCACCTGGCCACATTCACAATACGTGTGAGTCAGAATTCCTATTCTGTGCAGATGCTTGTTGGTTAAACAGTGACCTGTTCTCATTCTAATTATCGTTGTTAGATGCCTTCTGTCTTTATATGAAAACAAGGTGAACCATGGGGAACTTGGGAACTCCTTTATTATTCGTGCGTAGCTAGAACCTCGTGAATTTGTGCTCGATTTCCATTCTTGTTTCCATTTAGCCTGTATTTGCTGCTTAATTGTTGGTAGGACATCATTTTTGTCTAGTTCT